CTCATTTGTATATCACAGCTAATGAAGGCGATGATGGTGAAATGGGTGGTGGTGGTCACGGGGTTGATGATGTGGAGATATGCAATGAAGGAGACGACATTAATGATTCAAGTTTTCATCATGCAGCTGAGGAGGAAGATGATGAACTTGTGCATGGAATAGCAGATGCAGATGCAGATGGGAATGGTTCCATTGAGATTGTTTCACAGACTCTTCCAAGTAGCAAGGATGTTGTGCATCCAAATGACTGCAGTGTCATAATTTAGTCATTCAATCTTTCTTTTGTAGAGGAGGACTATATATGCTTTACATAAACAACTTGCCATTAAATTCCTATTCCTATTCCTATTCCTATTTATGATGATGTAGAGGCAATTAGGAGGAACTGGATTCATCCTAGGAAGTTTCCAACTTGTGTGATGCTGCTTGCTGACTGCTGTGAATACTTAGTTAAAAGCTAGAAAGGTTCGATAACTTGCTACTCGGAGGTTTCTCTCCACCACCTGCCCCTTTTTTTTGTATTGAAGACCAGAAAAAAAAAAAAAAAAAAAAAAGATATGCCTGTAATTTCTGATTCAGAAGATTGTAATTTAAATAGTTCCGGTAAAGCTTCTCTTCTATTTTAGGGCAATTAAATAGGAGATTGGCAAAAAAGTTACCCTACAGACTACAAAACAAAATGTGTGGGGGTGTTAATAAGTGGTTTTAGTATGTTTTTACATTCGACTGCTACTATAATTTCCAAACTTTTTACAGAATTTGTTATGTTCATTAACATGTTTGGTTCATAAAATGAATTTTAAGAGAATAAGAATGTTATTTTATGGGGAATAGAATAGACATGAAATAGATAGAATAGGATTTGAAGAAATAGATACAAAATAATAATAATAATAATAATAATAATAATAATAATAATAATTATTATTATTATTATTATTATTATTATTATTATTATTATTATTATTATTATTATTATTATTATTATTATTATTACAGATTACAGATTTATATTAAAAAAAGTTATTGTTAATGGGGTTTCTTTCTTCCTCACGCGTGGATCCCATCTGCCCTCCAGCATAACCCCTTCTCTTCTCTCTCTTGTATTCTCTCTCAACCACATAGCATATCACTATTTTAATATTTCCATATTATCCACTAATAATGATGCTCTAATACCAGGGGATCCTAAGAAGGGTTATTCTTCCTGTAAAGGGAATAACTCATTTTTGGGAATGCTATTCCAAGAAATAAAAGGACAAGATAAACAATAGAATAAGTTTATTTCCGGCAATGGTATTCCATTCTCGACCTATTCCATGAACCAAACACACTGAAAGAGTGTTTGGTAGAATAGAATTGTAATTTCATTCCTACCTAACTCCATAGAATTGCAATTCCTATGGTCTTCAAGAATGCAACACTTTTCCCACAAGAATACAAAGTCTCATTTGGTGTTGTCCTGCTCTCAAGTGGAGGCTCCTTCATCGCAACCGTTAATGGTCCCTTAAACTGTCCACAGTCCCCGACTATGGCTGAAGCGTTAGGGTGCAAAAAAGCTCTTATATGGCTGAAATTTTGTGGAGTCTAAAGCCTCCGGCTTGAATCATATAGGCAAATAGGCAAGGTCAATGAGTTGAGAAGTAAAACCATCAATCAGTCGCACACGTTTATTATTCGTTCATGTATCAGTCTCATGTCCCATTTCGATTTAGTAGTGTTGTTTTTACATTAGGAGGTCACTAAACCAGATAGTCCACATGTTAGCTAGGAAAACTAGCTCTCAGACTGGATCTCGTACTTGGCATCACATCCCACCTAATTGTATTCCTTCTTTTTTACCTAGTTCACAGTAATAATATTTAGTTTCGTTTTTGGCTATTAAAAAAAAACAAAAAAAAAAAAAAACAAAACAAAAACAAAAATAAAAAATAATAATAATAATAATAAAATTGTCCTAAAAAGCACAATGACAAATATGGATGAATAGAAAGGTTGTGGGCAAGAATTAATGATTAATGATTGTAAAACCAAATTAATTGGATATATAATAAATGTTTGAAAAATGGTCTAAGTTTGCTAAGTTGATAGAATAGTGGACTTAAGCTCCATAAGTGGAAAAAGTTTCGATCACACCCTTCAATTGAACTCTAAGGTAACCAATTTAGGTCACTATTTATTTATCGTACTAGTTTTTTACGCGCATTGCACGATTGGGATAATGTCCATTTTTTTTTTTTAAATAAGTACTTTAAAGTATATCAGTGTAAGATTATATTAAAATTGTTCATGCATAGATAATTGAATGTTGAATTTGCATATTTAAATAGGTAATTCTAAGTTTACAAATACAAGATAATATAGTCAAAATTGATTAAAATTGTCAATAAGATAATTGTATAGGTATGGTTGAAAGTAAATACGGGGCATAAGGGAGAGCAAATAAAAATTAGGGCATAAAATATTAAATATATACTAATATTGAAGAGCTAACGGTTGAATGTCAAACAAAGACATTGCGTGGTAGTTTCCCACTTCAATTTGTTATGTGATTTGAATACTCTTTTTGCCAATAAATCCCCCAAGTAGTTAATATGATTGGCTTAATTATATTTTTTATTTATTTTTTATTTTTTAAAAACAATTATTATTATTATTATTATTATTATTATTATTATTATTATTATTATTATTATTATTATTATTATTATTATTATTATTATTATTATTATTATTATACCCTTAGATCATTTTACATGTTAATCTAAACAGCTAATTTTTTTAAATATTTTTTTACCAACCGTTGATATAATTCGCTGGTCAAATCCGCTAATGCTAACCGCTAACTGCTGATTGTCAAACAAGGACATTGCGAGGTAATTATCACTTCAATTTGTTGTGTGATTTGAATTCTCTCTATCAACAAATCCCTCAAGTAGTTAATATGATTGACTTTATTAATTATATGTTTTTAATTTTTTCATGGTATTAATAAAATACTTGGTAAATAAATATATAGCAGTATTTTGTATTATAACTTTGATATTTAATTAAAAAATAGTGCACAAAAAAGATAATAGACTTATGTAGTGAATATAATCAATTGATGAATTTGAATATAAAGAATTTTTACATTGGGGAAAAATAAAGACAATATAACTAATAAATTTTTTTTATTAATTAATTTATTGATAATGAATATTTTTTTTAATAAAGACATTGTAGGGACAATGTAGCGAATATAATCAATTGATAAATTTGAATGTAAAGAATTTTTATATTGGAGAAAAATAAAGACAATATAACTAATGAAAATATTTCTCTTATTTAATTTATTGATAATGAATAATTTTTTTGAATAAAGACATTGTAGATACATAATTCTAAATTAAAGAAATGCATATGTATTTTTTTGTAGCACTAAATTATTATTTTAATTTAATAAGAGTAAAATAGAGTACTAATTATGCTAACTTTGATTGGAATGTGGTTCAAACCTAAGACTTTTCTTATTGAAATCAATGGGTAAGTTAACGGTGAACTAAAAGAAATTATATTAAGCTTTACCTCAAGGAATGCTAGATTTCTAGATATGTTGGATTCCTATGTTTGGTTTAAAATTGAGGTATGTAATATAAATCTGTTTGGTTAAAGAGTTTTTTTTTTTTTTTTTTTTTAATTGTATGAAGATTATTTTACTTGAATATTATTTTTTTTATTATTATTATTAGGAAGGGGGATACCTTACATGGACACACTATTACCTCAATTGAAGTTCGAACCTTACACCTCTCACCTAAGAGAGCAACCTAATACCAGTGGACTACAAGCCACTTGGTTTACTTGAATATTATTAACCTATTGTTATGTATTTTAATAAATTTAAAATTAAAATAAATAAATAAAACAATGGTAAAATATAGAAGTAAATGATTTAAAATTAATTAATTAAGAGTTTGAACAAAGAAATGGGAGGGTATCTCACATTCCCTTACAATAGCTAAAAACATTATGTTTATGTTACATTTTCGGGAGAAATTGCATAACTTGAACCAAACATGGGAATCTCATATTCCCAAGCAAATATAACTTTTGTTATCTTATATAACCTGAACCAAACGTCCCCTAAAGAGTTAAATTCATACACCTTAAGTTGGAAAGTGATGCACCTTAAGCTTTACACTTATGCATCTAGAGTCTGGAAGTCGTCAAAAAAAGTTGTGCACCTTAAGAGTTAAGTTCATGCTCCTTAAGCTGGAAAATGATGCACCTAGAATCTAGAAGTCGTTATTCATCAAGAAAAAAAATTGTGCACTTTAAGAGTTAAATTCATGCACCTTAATTTGGAAAGTGATACACCCAACGAAGAAAAAATAATGCACCAAACAAAATAAAAAATTTGAACTTACACAAAATTATCGTTATATATAGACTTCTATTCAAATGCGGCTGCGCCTTCCCGTGCGGTCAGTGCAACCGCTTGAAATATGCACCAATAGTGTTAACAAAAGGCACCAATAGTGTTAGAAAAATGCACAACGATGAAATGCATAAAATACACCCAAAAAAACGCACAACACACCCAAAAAAAATACACCATAACTCCCCATTTTCGAACGTGTGAAGATTTTATTGATACCTAATAGTATATTTTTTGAGATGCATACCTAATTTGTGTATTTTTTTGTTGTTATTTCCAAACATTGTTGGTACGTAGTACATATTGATATAACTGGGCCCACTAATCGCATGAGAAGACACAACCGCACCTGAACTCAACTCCATATATATATATATATATATATATATATATATATATATATATATATATATATATCAATGATGTAGCAACTATGTAATTGAAACTTTTTTAAACTCAAGGTATAATTACTTTTTCACTAATATAATTGTTGAAGAGTTTTCTGAAATAGAAATTAGCACACACGACACGATTATGATGTCAAGCACGTCATTAACGTCAAACACAATGAATTGAGTGCAGCAAAAATAATTGATTTTAGTAATTTTACAATTCACTAGAGCGACAGAATCACGTAACATGTAGTTTGAGCATAACTAATAATTTGTATTTTTACACACCAATGTAACCTAACATAGACAAGCCAATCATTATAGAGCTCCGTCCACTGTATAATAAGCTATACTAATCTCCACCAGTTACAACATGGGCAATCCAACTTGAGAATAAAATATCATAACCCATCAAACAAATCTGAAACAATTAGTTCTTTCAACTTAGAAGAGGTAGCAGACCAAATCCTCTGCTCTGCTGCTGAACAGAACAAAAAGTTGTTAATTTCTTCGCATATCCTTCCTCTTCAACCCATTACCTCCCCTGGTGGCGGATGATCAAATTTGCATGTTGCTCCATACTTGCATGTTCCAGTTTTCATATAATATGGACAATGTATAGCACCCTGCCAATATCATCAACACAATGCAAGTCAAAAAACTTGTAAGACAAAGAAGGGCATGCCACATCATAAGCCCATCTCATGTTTTTTTTTTTTTTTTAAGCTTTCAAAATAAAGATGGTTTGGGTGTGTTGTCCCCATAGAAGAAACATCATGACTTGTGGAAATAAACAGTAATATAGCAAAGATCAAATCCACTTCCATCCTTCATTCATGCTTGCATAAAGTCTAAAAGCAGAAGCAGCTAAACAGCCATGTTTTGTGAATTAATGGCAAAATCTTTGGCGCACCTCCCGTCTAGGTAGCCCTGCAAGACTGAGCTTAACATTTTGCTGCTGGCCTTCCATTGAGGATGTAACCGGTGATGAACGATCAAGAGGGTGGTGAAACCTGCATCTCTCTCCAAATTTGCACTCCCCAGTTTTCATGTAGAACTGCAAGGTGTCATGATACAGAAAAGCAAGACATGGTGAAAGACAGTACCAGCTAATATAGCCAATTTTTAAATTCTTCGAATAGTACATCAAAAAGTGAATAGAAAGGGAAATAGGAAAACCACATCAATCTGTCAAATTGAAAATATAAAACCCATTTGTTTTCAAAAAAGAGAAAATATAGAACCTATTCTTCATAAATTGGATTCCAAAAGAAAGATGAGGTATATCTAGACTGAATTTAGTTTTCAAGTGCCTGTAACCTCAAATTGGATAATAAAGCTCAGTAGATACATACATCACATTCAACCTGTCCAGGCCGTTGTGGGTAGATAGTTGTGGCAAATCCAAACTGCAGTAAACAAATAAACAATTGCATCAACTGTCAAACAAAAATTACTACCAAATTTCATCAGAAGCTCCAAAATAAACAAGGATAATATTTCATTATTCTTATTACAATAGGTAACAGATATAATTCCAATGATAAATGTTTCTCATATAATTGTGTGTTTTACAAGGGTTTGGTGGGAAGATAATTAATGGTTTCAGCTCCTACAGTTCTACAAACACATCATTCTTTAGACCTATTGAGAACAAGAGTAAAACTTCAGTAAGGCTAGCAGATAGTTACTTATTCAGTGAGGCTCAAAGGGTCAATTAATTGGTTACAGCTCTGATCAAGATCACAGCCATGGACTCCAGCTAAGTTTCATGCTCTTTGTGGAACAACCATCCTAGAACTACCATAATTCATCAAGTACTCCATATGAAAAATAAAAATCACTCTACAGTATCGAAGATCTACACAAACCAAAAAGCCATCATCAAATGCAAGTGCACAAATTAAAACCATATTTTCACACCAGCATACTATATCTGTCAAGAAATTTCTTGCATAGCCAAGGAATAAAGGATGCAAGTTTACCATTGTTTGTGCCATTCTAGCATCAAATGTTTGAAAAAGTGAGGCAGTTGGATTAACAACCCCAACATTAAGATGGGCTGCAGGAGATGTTACAAATGCATGTCCTATAGCAGCAGTAGGTGGATTAATTGCTGTAAAGAATAAATAAACAAACAAACAAATAAGTAAATCAGCCATAAACTATAAAGAAAGAAAAAAAGTAAAATTCTTTGGGTTCTATCTCATTTCTCCTTATTAATTGACATTCTTATTTTTTATGAAAGGTGAGAAGAAGAAGTACAATTTAGTCACCAAGTCATCTGGTGAAACTCAAGAAAGGAAATAAATTAGTTCATGATGAAATTTATTTTGTACATATTTTTTGCTTTCGTGAACATGTCTTTTACTACTTCCATCCCATTTTGTAGATGTGATATCCTTCCCAAATTTGCCCTTGTAAAAAGATGTGATTGGGACCCAACTAGAAAAGTTAAAAGGAACAAAGGGTGAATTGGTAAAAATAAAAAGTTAGGGTGTTCAAGTTAGAAAAGTAAACATTATTTTAGAACATAAACATCTTAATAGCAATGGGGACAAACTTAGAGAAATGGTGTGTGCTAAAGGATTCTGTGTGTGTGGTGGGGGTTTCATGAGTTGATGATGCATTCATGGGAAAATAGTACGAAGGAAGCATAAGATCAACATATGATACAGAAGATCAATTACCAAGATTGAGATTTCTTACTTTCAGCAAATAAGATATTTAGGATTCATTCTATTCCTAGCATAATATTGTTATTTCCTATTTTAGCTCTTTTGTAAACCTTTAAGTAGCAGCATGCTTTGCAGTGAGAGGTAAATTGGAATTGAAATATAATCTCTTTTACCAACTCTCTCTCGTCTCACGTTCTGCTTCCCCTCATTCACAATTCGGAAGAATAGAACCATTCGTTCAAATTCAGTCTCTCATAGGCCCATAACCAGGAGTAGTATAACTCGTGATCATATCAGTTGAGCACTTGAGCAACACAAGAGTGCAAGTGATGTGACAAATCAAAAAGACCAAAGGATTTCCACCTTCTCTTGGCAGTGTTTAGTATTTTCATCATAACTTTATTCAGAAATCTCTGATTCTTGCATGGTTGGCCACATTGGAAACTAGACTAATGTAGCTTCCCAGAGAATCATAATTCATTATTTCAGATTCCAAGTGTGTTGGGACTTGGGAGTTACACAGCCCTAAATTATTAACCATATGATAATATAAGGATAATCTATCTTCAGGATAGAATGCATCTATTGCTTCATTCCTTCAGTCTTGTGAAGTTGAGTCTTCAGCATTCTCTCTTTGTAAGAGAAAAAAAAAAAGATGTAAACCAATGATGGAGAACATGGGTGATAAACAAAAGGTTGAAATTCAGGCAATTTGGAGACAAGTTTAAGAGTTTACACACAGGAAACTAAAACAGAATAATAATAAATAAATAAATAAATAAAAGGAATAAGAAATTGAGTGTTGAAATTTGAAAACCCTTCAAACTTCTTCAATTTAAAACAAAAATTGCAATAGTATAAAACAAACTAGCAATGGGATAATAATATAAAAAAGAAGCAATAATGAAGAAAGAATATAAAATTGAAGGGTGAAAAGAATATATAATAAAAGCACCTCAAAAAGTCATGCACTCTTGAAAACACATGCAAATTCAAAAAGATCAACTCACTATATCTGTCTGGATGATTGTAGCGGCAAGTGGCTCCATACTTGCAGCTGTTTCATGCAAAAAAAAAAAAAAAAAAAAAAAAAAAAAAAAAAAAAAAAAAAAAAAAAAAAAAAAAAAAAAGTGTATAATCACATTTAGTATGTAATCCCAAAAGATGAAGAACTGGAAAGAACAAAAAGAAAAGATTCACACTTGACCACAAACAAATGGACCTACCTTCCAGTTTTTAAGTAGAAAGGGCAATCAACTTCACCCTGTTGTATGTATACAAAAGAAATAAATAAACAGGACAAAGTTGTACATTCTGATGTATATTAGAAAAATAATAAATCTGCGTTTTGAACTATAGAAACTCAGGAAAAAAATCTATTAATTGGAAGTTGAATAAAAGAGAACTCCTGACATAGGATATAAAGATGTTAATGTTCTAGTACTACATCAACATATAGATCTAGATAAATCTTCAACAAATTTTGGATGAGCCAAATTATGATCAAGGGAAATTACACTTTGCAATGTTAAAGGCTGAACTTTTCCAATATAAACCCAAACAATATACACTTAGCATAGATTAATTATTGAAAAGCATAGATTAATTATTGAATGACTACTTTGTGCTTTAGGGTTTATCTGGAATCATGGCAATGCCAATTTTCTAAACTAACACCATGCGCACAACAATAAATACCTTTGTAACTTGTGATTGAAACAAAAAAAGAATTAGGTACAACCAAAACCAAGTACAAGGCATAACAGGAACAATTATACATTCAATAATTATATTAATGTTAGAGGGCTAAAGTGTTATATATATGGAGGTAAAGTGTTACTAACCAAGAAGTTTAGTGTAGTAAAAGCCAAACTAGTTTTTAAAGTATGAATATGGAGTCCAGTAGTCCACCACTAGTCACTACATATAAATAACTAGAAGACAGAAGAGTGAAAGGGATGGGGGAAGGGGGTTGGGAGAAAGTGAAGGAGAAAACCTATGTATTACCAGTCTGATAGGGAGACCCTTGGAATTATGCAGCATAGCTGGGCTGACAGTTTGCTTCACATCACCAATCATTTCACCATTATCAACTAATCCAGTCAGTGATGTGCTGCCATTTTCTTGTGCAGAAGCCTGTATTTGTATATCTTTTGGATGGTGAAATTTGCAGGTAGCACCAAATTTACATTTTCCCGTCTTCATGTAAAACTGATAAATACATACCAAAACGAACTAATGATGAACCAGTTATAACATATGTAGCTTGTGTGTACATATATAACATATTCTTCATATAATTATATTAAACAATTAATCTTGAATAAGCAATATCATACCGCACATAGAGGTTCCGAAGGCCTTTCAGGTAAGACAAGAACATCAGTATTTTCAAAGGCATCCTAAAGCAAGAGTCACTCAACAAATAATCAGTTATTGAAATAAATCTAGTCACCATAATTGATGGAAACAAAAAAACTATCCATATAACCCAATCAAAGTAATTACCTTATCTTTTGGGTGGTTAAATTTGCACCTAATGCCATACTTGCACTTTTGAGTCTTTAGATAATACTGAAACAATGTACAAGGCAATTAGGTACAAAAAGGCATATAGTTATTTGAATTGTCAAAAAAAAAATCACAAGTACAATCATCCTTTAAGGTTGTTTGCTTACCGGACAATCTGGCTCTCCTGGTCTCTCTGGAAGAGATTCACTTGTAATGGCTACCTGCACTTGACAAAGAGAAAGGTATGATTGAAATAAAAGAATAAATTAGTAGACAAGCAAAAATCTTCAAAACATACACATAAACATCATAAAACAATCATTTAAAAGATTGTCTTCTAATACGAATTTTAAATGAAAGAGGGGAAGTGATAACTGAAACTCTGACAGGAATGTGAGACATAGATTTCAGAACAGTTCTCTGTGAAATCCCACCTACACACCCCTCAACATCCACAACTACTCCCCCACTTGCACTTATACCCCTTTCATATAAGGAGATACAAGTGTCAAAAAAGAAATTCAGAAAAAAAACTAAAATAAAATAGATGTATCTTTCAAGTAAGCACATGCTTTTTTTCACCAAGAATCATCTTCAAGGGAGAATCGTGGGGAAGAAATTTGTTGGCATCTGTCTACACCACTTCCTTTATTGATCTCATCTCCTAATTACTTTGATAAACTAGACTTGGGAATTGATTAATAAAATGATAACTGGACAACAGGGCTAGGTAGAACATCATTAAATCTAAGACAAGGGCAGATTTACTACAAAAGAAACTTGAAATTCTCATGTACATACTAGTCTATTAGAAAAACGCCTCAGAAGAAACGTATTGATCCATCTACCCCTCCAACAAGGCAACAATTAGCAAGTATCAGAATCTAAGGGAAGGTCTTCAAGAAACTCAGGTTAATTCTAAACTTGACTTGATTCTACATCTTCAATTAAACATTTAAACCTCTAAATTTGATCTCTGCTGTAGATCTTCCTATAAAAATAAAAATAAAAGGGAGTAAGATCATGCAATAATCATCTCATTGCAATATACCTTTCACATCAAAAAAACTGGTATCTCTAAGCACAAGGTGATTTACATTGGGATGAAGCACTCACACAAGATGAATTCTCTTGAAGAAAATATAATGCAAGATATTGTTGACTTACTAAAAGTAAGAACAGAAGTAAGGTGCAAGCAGATCCTTACTCTGAAATGCAAGGTAGATGGAAGTATTGAGCTACACAATGCATACTCATGGCCAAAGGGCTAGGGTTAGATTATTAGGAAACATTCACTCCAGTTGCTAGGGTCAACTCATTACTCAATACAAATTATTTTTATCTCCTCAGCTATTACATATATTGACCATTACATCAATTTGATGTAAAAAATGCTCTCTAAATTGTGGGCAAAATGCACACAATCTAGCCTGTGTGCATTCATGTAGTAAATTGTGTGCATTTAAGATGTGGTCTCATTAGATTATTACTAATATATATATATATATATATATATATATATATATATATATATATATATATATATAAATCTTACTATTATTAAACTTTTACATTTTCAATAATTATAAAAATGAACCCTACTCTTAACAATTTTCAATAATTATAAAATTGACCTCTTTTTGTTACTAAAACCCTCAACCATTTATGAACCCTAATAGACGGTTGAGATCAATCCTCAATTTTTACACGAGGACCGTGTTCTCATTTTTTGATACTGCCCCTATATATATATATATATATATATATATATATATATATATATATATATATATATATATATATATATATATTAAAATATCACATATCAGTTCATAATTAGCATTCACATCTTTTTTGCTTAAATCAAGCCAAAATCCATACTCCCCCCCACCCCTAGGTCTTTGGATTTAGCTTTCTTTCTATGATCCTTTGATGGATCATAATTATTTTCATTATCAGGAATATCAGCCATAACCTTTCATAAACAAAGTAAACAGCCTAAACAAAGTGAAGTAGTGAAGTATAACAAGCCAGTGAGCCACTAAAGAAAGATAATGAAATCAGAAGTTTAGAACGAAAAAGAAAAAAGAACGGTTAGTCGGCCAAGAAGAAAGAAGGGTCGGCTAGGAAGGCTGTGATTCTTATGTAACATAAAGTAAAAACTAAGAAAACTAAGAAAAATTAGTGGTCTATTTGAGCACTGGTAATAATAATGGAAAAGATAGCAGAAGTTATAATGGTAGGGATTTGTCCAAAAAATTGTATAGTACAACTCTTATAGTATAATGTATAAAAAACATAAAAAATGGACATAAATCAAGGATATAACCTAGATTGAGACTTATTATGCTTTTAGATATATTATATAATGTTAAGAGTTATTTAAAATTTATCAGGTCGTCATTAATTATATTGGGGTTAATTAGGGCAGGTGACTTTAATGTGCAAATGAGAGAAGAGAGACAATATTGTGTTATTGTGTAGATTCCAAAGAGTGGAGAAAGAAGAAAGTCCGTTTTATGCAATAAAACATAAATTAGGACTTTCTTTTAGCTTTCCCTCATTTGTGCGTTCCGGCTGGACTTGTTCTCATTAATAAAATTGTGAATTCCATACTCATAACACATTAATCCATCCTTTGCTGCAGGATCTGGAGGAACGCTCTTACCTTTTGCAGACGGTAAGAGTGAAATGTGTATAAATTACGTCCTTTTGCATGCACGTAATAAAATTGTGTATTACCTTTTGCTTTCACTCTTCTCTGCCACTGCCTGTTCCGACGTCCTTTACCTTTGGAGGACGGTCCAAGAGTCCCCAAAGTAGACCACTAATTTTTCTATTTGCAGACAGCTCAAATAGACCACTAATTTTTCTTAGTTTTCTTAGTTTTTACTTCATGTTACATAAGAATCACAGGCCTCCACCACCCCCGACCTTGCCCATTATTATTATGTGTTTTTGGATCGTGGTCGGCACACAGCTGTGTGGACCATGGTCCACGCAATAATGATTGCAACTTCCAAATTGACAAAATTGTAAGATAATTTTCTTGTTAGGAGGAAAAAAATAACTTTTACTTTTAAACAAAGTGCCCAACTTTTATTCAATTACAGTCATCCCAAAATAAAGTACACGTTTGTGGCGAAGGAGAGATTAATCTGTTTAACACATCTTTGGAAGATAATGGGACTTCTTGGTGATGAACTAAGATCTAAGTTTGCTTTAGTATATTGTTTTTCCAGCACACTGATGCTCAAGCAATAAAGTTCAAGACCATAACCATGCCAAATCAACACCTTTTACCTTTTACCAGTCCAGTGAAAGCAACTAAGATATCCAATTTGCTAAAGAAGGCAGTCTAATGAAAGGAGTTTTCCTATTTCATTAAATGTTGCTACTTTACCTATTAATACATTATCTTAAAAATTATAATTTTAACTTAAGTAGAGACTGCCATTAATTTACCATGTTCTGCGGTTGAATTACCCGAAGTAAATGCCCAAGTAAAGGTGGAACATAATGTATATGATGGTTTTGATCCCAATTCCATTTTTCCAGGTAAACCCAACTTCTTGTAATTCCCTATTGACTAAACTTGCATACTATTTTGGTTTCTTTCTTAGGATGTTCCCTTTTTTGCTCTTAGGGTAGGGATACATCGGAGGAGCAAGGATTTACATTGATTATTTATAGCATAGTATTTTCTGCCTTTGACTTTAGAAAATTATTTATAAGGTAAAATATTTTGGATGATTTAAAAAGATCAATTTAATGCATATAGGTATTAGGTAGTTAGCAATATTATAGCATGTACAGGGTGTAAAAGAATATTAAAATTTAATAAATAGATACCCGTAGAAATAGAAGAAAAAATTGAGGCAACGTGTCACAAATGCTTTGATAACATTATATGTTTTCATAGAATGCTAATAGCAAAAATGATCACCTCTTTCCAATCTGGGATTCCACCCTCTGGAACCCAAATAGGATGGTCAAACTTGCAGCTATCTCCAAACTTACAGATTCTTGTGAGCATGTAATGGGCACAGTCCTTCTCTCCAGGCCTCTGGGGATAGATGGGCAAATTGCATGCAGTCTCAAATCTAGGACGCTTGGCTAAAGGATTGCTTGAAAACCAAGATTCAGTTTGCCCAACTGTACTATGACCACCCAAAACTGTCTGATGATATAGGGCTATGACATATAATATAAACATATAAACAACAAACCACATAAAATGTGTATGTTATTAGACATATGACCTTACATATACATAAGGAGTAGCAAGACAAGCTATAATGAACTCAAATAACTGAAATGAGTACTATACCTTAATACATCATATGTTTATATAGGTAACAATGGAAACTGCAAATATTTTTCAAACATAGAAAACTGTATATGAAGTTTGATAGATACTTTGAGCACAAGGCGGTTTAGTTTTTTTAATATATACATAAATACATACATATATGTTTGTATGAAAGAATTACTATATTTACAAGACAAAGATAAGAAGTTTTAGCCCCTATCTTCTTACAATATTATATATATATATATATATATATATATATATATATATATATATATATATATATATATATATATATATATATATATATATATATATATATAAGCAGATATAAAAGAGGTGGCATTTGACTGTATATAGCAAGATGACTAGGAACTTACACTACAGAGTATCTTAATTGGTTGTGGTTAAAAAAAAAAAAAAAAGTGTTGAAAAGAAAAGGGCAGTCTTAAATTAATGGTTTAAAATCAGTATCCAAACAAGATGCTCACCAAACAACCAACAGAAGATTTCATGGATCTAAGAAGTGACTGTACCCAATGAGTTTGAAATATTCATAATAATGAAATGCTAAAAGCTATAGCCTATTCCACTTTATTATGTTATGTTGAGTTGTTGACAGTTGGAATCATAATGCAATTGACAATTTGACATTGGCTAGTCATTCATGCTAAAGAAAATCAGCAAATGATTTAGGCATCTGACAGAAAATTACATTAACTAATATTAGTCTCCTTTAACCAATAAAAGGTTTGTTATGAAGATATTTCCATTTAGGCTGCTGGTGGTATGACCTGGGATCACTACTCAAATAAAAAGGAAATGATTTTTTTGAAATCTTCTCTTCCAGGTGAATTATCCCAAACCTCTGCTTTCCTCCCAAAACTGAATAATTTGGCATCTCTTATTCCTTTTATAAAGAAAGAAAGAATAAAGAGGGGAAAAGGAAAAGGAACAGCAAAATTATGCCTATATTGGCTCCACATTCATTTACTAAATGTACATTGTGTAGGAAGTTAATGTGCTAGCACATTCTAGCTGGAGTGCAATCAGCTTGCTAAAAGAAGACTAACGTTAGGCAGTTTATAGACTACTACATGCAACTAGACAGATTCCAATTACAAGGAAATTAATAAAGGCTTAGACAACCCAACAGCAATGCACCTTGAACCACAAAATCGTCATAATTGCGGATAATGACAAGTTCCAAGAATTTTAAATATTACAGCAAGAATAACTGAACAGAAAATGGAAAGTCACATTGCCTCAGAAAGTAATTATCTCCCTAAGAACCAGTCTCTAGAATGCACTACCACTTGTTCATAATTAGATAGGTCATTTCATCACATGACAAAGCACAACTAGAGAGCCTAAGAAATGAACACAACGAAGGGAAAGGGAGAAAGAACCTAACCTTCAGACGAGGGACGCTTCAACCCGGAAAGAAATGGGTCAGCAACAGCCGGTCCAATATCAACACCAGGAGGACCAGACCATGATGATTGAGGGGCTGTAGGAATTCTACTGCCAGCAGAGGCGAAACTATTATTAGCATAATTAAAGAGCATGGCTAGTAAGTGATGAGTACGAGAGGACTTGTAGCCGGAGAGCGGTGCTGTGGTGGGTTGCACGAAGATAATAGCCAAACAATGACAAAGTCAAGTTTTCAGCCTGTAATAAGAAGCATCTAAGGCTGTAAAATTAATTTTTATTTAAAAATTCTACAAAAAAGACAGTAGTTATACAGATTCATGTGCAGGTTATATCAGAATATGGTATTACAGCTAATAAACCCTAAACATTATAATGTATATACAAGTGATAACACAGTCATTTTCTTTAAAAATAGACATACAACTCACCGGTCTTACACATACGAAGGCTGTTCTTTTCAGATCCACCGTAGGCGCATTGATGTGGAGACCTTTTGGTTAGAATCCGGAATAAAAGATGTTAACGGCTATGTAGGGAGCTGAAGATGAGTGGAGGAAGCAAAATCGCCAGTTCAAGTCCTGGCAGTGGGGCACCGAGTGACCGGCGTCCGGCGCAGTCAGCTTCGGCGTGGCAGTCGTGGACGATTGCCGATTGGGGCAGCAGCGGACCGGCGGTTTAAAATTGAAGTGTTGAACAATGAACCCTAGCTAGCAAAAAAAAAAAAATAGTCAAATACACCATTCAACTATAAATCATTAACCTCTTAAACTAATTTTTTTTTAACTAAACTTTAAAAATTGTTAAAAATGTGCAATTACTATTTTTTAACAAGTTACCAAAAAGTAACCAATTACTTTTGCTTACATGACATTTCATTTAAATAATTTTTTAAAAAAAAAAAAAAAAAAACTTAAACGAAAAGTGCCGAATTCGTCTTCGATGCCGCCAGATTCCCTGTTCGTAGTCACCGATAACGGAAAGTAGTCGAATTTGTCTGTTATATTTAAACAGAGAAGAGAAGTCATGGCTTCTCCGTTGAGCTTCCAAATTTCAAATTCAGACGGAGAAGCTTGGTGCCTTATAGTCCATGAACGAAGTTTATCCGTTCATGGAGAAGCCATTGCGGTAGGCTAGGCAAGCTTGCCCCTGGCGTTGTTTTTATTTTTTAAAATTTTTTTTATAATATAATTAATTTACTTTAAAATATTAATTGATGTGGCATCTTATCTTATATAAAATCTTAACATACTATTATATGTCAAATAAGTTAATTGTACTATTTTAACAAGTTTAAAGGTTTAATGGAAGATTTTTTTTTTTTTTTTAAGTTCGGTGAATTAATTACACTTTAATATATACTTGGATGATCTATTTGATCATTATTTAAGAAAAAAAAAAAAAGGTATTAACTCACCCAATAATTAATGATAAGTTTTTGTGTTTTTTTTTTTTTTCTGCTGCTTTTTTTTTTTATTTTTTAAGTCAAACTCACTATCTCTCTTCACATAAAAAACAAAAAATATATCATCTAAAAACTACAATTGTTAGATGTTGAATGGATAATAAAATATTTCATCCGTCTCATTTTATGTGTCTGGTTCGACTAACGAGACTTGACTAAAGTTATTTTTAATTTATTTTCATAATATTAAGTTTAGTATTAATATACAAAATTTATATATTTAGAAATTACACTACAAATACTATTAAACACAAAAAATTAAATTAAAAATAAGTAAAAAATCATAAAGAAAATAAACAAGGAAGAAATAATTAGTTTGACTAATAAATAGTAAGTATGACAGATAAAATGAGACATATAAAGTAACTAGTTCCTGTACCCGCTTTGCGCGAATGAAATAATGCCCAATGATTATTTTTAAACAAGTATTTCAAAGTATATCAATGCAATATTATATCGGAGATATTCATACATAGGTAAATAAACATTGAATTTGTTTATTTAAATCGGTAATTTAAAGTATATAAATGAATATAATATATGAGAGATTAATTATATTGTCATTAAAATAAATGTTTGCAACTTTGTAATAACACTAGTATACATACTTTGTCTAAAAACGATAGTCTAAATAAATACTACTTTTGGTTTAAATTTATCTAATTCTTCTCAATTCTCTTTTGGGTAGCATTGTCATTGTCTTCATCTTCAGTACATGTCCTCTTTTTTGTTTCTTTTAATATTGGTAGCGTGTCATGTGCAATTTGATTACTGGGGGTAACATAGATGGATTCATCGTGCAATGAGATTATGGTGTGATGAAGCTTTAGATTTGCATTGTTGTGTATATATGGGATCTTAGTTGTGCTATTAACTCTTTATCTTACAAACACCTATTGATATTTGGTAGTGGTAGTTTCCCCCCTACATGTTTAATACATTGTGAAATGTGGTGTCGTAGGTTATCATGTGAAATTATTGAACAAAATATTAATTTTTTGGGTGAAGTGTCAAATAACACCATGAACCAATAGCGAAATGTCATGCTGCACCCTGACTTTTCATAAGTGTTGATTCGATGCACAAACTAATTTTTTTTTTTCATCTAGAACTTTTCATAAGTTACCTATAGGTTGCAGGTGATAATTTGCTGACATGGATTTTTTTTTTCCATCAACATAGTCAACACAGTCTTCTCATCGCCCATCTTCTTCTCCAACCCGTCCAGCTGCTTCTCACCATCATCAACTCTGCTTCTCCATCAGTCCATTTCAGGTTGCTTAGTATTCTAGATTACAAGAGTAATCCGCCATCATTTCCATTCCGATTATTTCCATCATCCAATCAATAGACTTTTGTTTCATCTTTGCAATCAAATTCTGTGAAGCTCTTCGCATGGAATACTGAAGTTGTGGGTAAATATCATCATGTTGCATCAAAACTGTAACCACTGTTTTCTCAATATAGTCCTACAATTTGGCCACAAAATGTTTTGCCTCCTCCAAGGCCAAAATCTCTTCCATTAAGAAATTCCTGCAATCAAAACTCAAACCAGTTTCCCGCAACTCGATCATCTGCATACTCATTTAGCATTTCCACCAATCGTGCTGTGCAATGCATTTCTTTCTCATCAGGGTACTCATCAAACTCACCTCTAACAAAAATTTTCATCACCGATTCCTTCCTAGAGCTGATAATCTGCATGAACGCCGTCAAGGCTTCAGCCACCGTGCTTAGATTCTGGGGCTGTATGTTCAAATCGGCAATGTTGGCAGACAACTTATCATTGTTTTTCTGAACAATTTCAAGCAAACATTTCGAGATAATATTCGCTTGGATCCTCACCAACTTCTGCTCCAGTATAGGAATAGTCACCATGGACTTTTCAATCTTGGACAAGAACGGATGACTCTGGAATAACTTTGCCTCTTCAACTCCCAATGGCGATCCTTTTCTTCGCCTAAACCAGATGACTCTGGAGACAACCGCTTCAAATGAGATGAGAAGGGAAAGGACGGAGCTCGTCCCGTCGCTACTTCTAGACGCCGCCAACCACCGCCGTCCACTGCTACTGCCGGATCTGTTCACGCTAGACTAGAGGAGGCAAGAAGTCGCTGGATCTGCTTGATGATAGCACCGTGCTGCCATTAACGAGGAAGAGGAGGCGAAGATGAAGAGAAAAGCACGAGAAGTGAGGGGAGTTGGCCATCATCGATGCCTGCTTGCTTCGTCGAAAGGGAACACAGGAGAGAGAAAGAGAGCAAAAGTGATGAGAGAGGCGAAGGTCACGGTGGTGCTGTCAGTTAGGTTTTTTTTTTTTTTTTTTTTTTTTTTTTTTTTTTTTGACTCTATCTCTTATTTCATATATTACTGGTTCCATGTCATCAGGTTTACCGGGTAACTTATGAAAAATTCTAGATGGAAAAAAAAATTAGTTTGTGCATTGAATCAGCACTTATGAAAGGTCAGGGTGCGGCATGACATTTCGCTATTGGTTCATGGTGCTATTTGACACTTCACCTTAATATTTATTATATTTGTATAAAATACTTGGTAAACAAATATATATAACATATTTTGTATTATAACTTTGATATTTAATTACAAGATAATAATGTAAAAAGAAGACAATGGACAATGTAGTGAATATAATAAATTAAATAAATTTGAAGGTATTGAATCTTTGAATTGTAGAAAATAAAGATAGTATAACTAATGAAATTATATCTCTTTTTTATTTTTTGTTTATAATAAATAATTTTTTAAAATAAAGACATTATAGACATCTAGTTCTAAATTAATTAAATGCATATGTATTATTTTTTGTTGTAGCTACTAATTTATTTAATTTAATAAGAGTAATAAAGTAGCATACATACTTTTCATCAACAATAATGAAATCATTGATTTTTTTTTTAATTTACATTCGTTGTTGAGACAAAATGTTTTGAGAGTTTGCAATTGAATGCTACTGTTCTATTAGATTGTAGTATGAGGCTCGAACTTACAACCTTCCAAATGGAAGTCCAACCCAGATACCATTAGACCACATAGTCCTGGTAAATTCAAAATATATAGTTACAATAGATATTGTTATAATGATATAGTAAAAATTAACTTACAAATTTCTTTATAAATTTTCATGCATTGATAAAATTCTGATGTGTAAACTTGTTCAATTAGAGAAAGTTAAATCAAAAGTAGTATTTATTTAGACTATCGCTTTTAGACTAAGTATTTAGACTAGCGTTATTACAAAGTTGCAAACATTTATTTTAGTGAGAATTACAATCAATCTCTCGTATATTATCTTGTATATATATACTTTAAATTACCGATTTAAATAAACAAATTCAACATTTATTTACTAAACATCTCCTATATAATATTGCGTTGATATACTTTGAAGTACTTATTGGGCATTAACCCATTCACGCAAAGCGCGTAAAAAAAACTAGTATTTTAATACATTTTAAAATATTCGTAGTATATGTTTAACAATTATGCTAACTCTAATTGGGATGATGTTCGAACCTAAGACATTTCTTATATAAATTAATAAGTTAAAAATAACAAATAGTTAACGGAATATTCCGTTACTAAAGTTTATACTAACGGAATTTAGGTTATTTAAGGGAATAAAATAATATAATAGAGGGTAAATAAGGAAAATCATTAAAAAAGAATACTAAAATCAAAATAATATGAACCATTCATTTTAAGAAACAATAGCACCCGACATTTTTTTGTTCCAGTTAAGGGCCTAACATTATTGGCTCTTATTAGAATTGTAGATGTAGATAGATGTAGATGTAGATGTAGATGTAGAGATAAAAAATGGAACATACACATACATACATACATACACACCCACCCCACCCCACCCCACTCTCACGCGCAAATTATGCTGTGCAACCGAATGCACCATGCGCATGGTGCATTCGATGCAAAACGCCGTCGTTTTGGTTAAAAAACGCGCGTCCCACTTAAAGAAGAAATCAGGTTCGATTCCCGGCAATAGCATTTTTATATATCCATAAATTCATAACTATATATCCATAAATTCATAACCATATATCCACAAATTCATAACTATATATCCACAATGAATGAATGAAGTAAAAATCCACAATGAATGAACTAAATATCCACAGTGAATGAATGAAGTAAATATCTACAATGATTGAACTAAATATCCACAATGAATGAACTAAATATCCATAAATT